TTACATCATTGTAATGAGAATGTAGGAGGAAAATGTACATAAAAAGTAAATAAATCTTGGTCCTAAAATAACCTTAATTTTCTTGGGTTTCAAAATCAATCAATCAAATCATATTTTTCCAAAACAGCTTAATTTTCCTGCCGTAATCATTCAATCAATCAATCAAATTGTCATTGGTCAGATAAATACATAAATAAGAAATCATTATAATCAAATCACAATGATCATCATCTGGTCACCAAATAGTGTATTGACAAACTACAAGTTATGACAATAAAAACCACCAGCAAACCACAGATGTTCTGTTAATGCCTCTATCAATAAAGCACAAACATCTCCCAAAGAAGCTGTTCTGAGCATGTTCTTCATACAAACTGTCCGATGTGCATTAGCTGTGCTGCTCTGAGAAAAAGACTCAATCTGTTCCTAAGACACAAACTGTAATGTTTTATGCCAAGTAACTTAAATGCAAGCTACTTCATCTAAATGACATTTCAAAATCAAAAGATTTGAGTTCAAGGCTAATTTAAGGGTCATATCAGGTAAAGCCCGTGTTTTAAATAAACAACTGTGCAGTTTGACTTTTGCGCGCCCGTGATGCCCAAAAATGCTGTTTGACTAAGTAGGCAGCGTACTAGTTTTTAAGCCGCAGCCACACAGTCATGTGAAAGTTGTAAGTGCACAAAGCAGTTGTAGGAAATGTGTTCTTACCAGCTGTAAACATGCTCCCGGCGCAGCAGACAGTCAGCACGGACACAACATGCGCGCAGACCGCGGGCAGGAGCAGGAGCGCACGCCTCGGGCTGTACCGGGTGGACATGGTGCCCCACCGGAGATCCACACCAACGATCCACGCGGATCACGGCTGCGCGACCATAATATAGAGCAGGACAGACGGACAGCAGCTGAGGACTTCCGACACTTCCTGAAATGTGAGAGACTCTCAGAGCGCGCCACACATCAGCTTTCCATGAGCGCACTAGCCAATATGAACTCAAGCGTGTGTGTGTGTGTGTGTGTGTGTCTTGACGCCTCTTATTTTTGGATGAGAATAGACCAGACACGGCGGTAACAGTTTACAACAACGTTCATTAACATTCGCTAACAAACAGTAATAGGAAGGCTCAACAGACGATCCTTGCCCAGGTTACAAGGTTATCTTGATAAAAAAAAAGGGTATGGACATTTCCACAGTGTTGCTCAGGTGGCCAGCTATCCAGTGCGTTATGATTGGCTGAACAACCTCAAGCGTGTGACGGAAATGTTATACCCCTCACCATACTGTGATGATGCCGTGTCCGGCCGGAGCGACGAGACAAAAACATGAAAACCCATTATAA